TCACGTTCCACTTTCTTGTATTCTCGCTTTGAGGAGTACGCTGTAGAGCCTCCGAAAATGTGTGAGACGTGGAGATCGGAGTCTGGGTATGCTGAGTCCGATTCCTGAGTAGCCGCCACCGCATCCTTCTCGACCACGCGTACTCTCTTGCCTTTTTCCAATGCCATGTGCTTCTCGAGCGACTTTTTAAAAACAAGGCAATCTTTCAAAGAATGTCTGTCCGTCTTGTGTATAGGGCACCATGCTTTCTTAGCGTCGCTACTTTGTGGGTCTAGGCGCTTGGGAGGGTTCGCTTATTCTGCTGCGAGAACTTCCGCTTGAGCTTTCCTTTTCCCACTCTTGCGATTTTTCTTCTTGCTTGACTCAGGTGTGTCCTTGGCTGGTTTCTTCTCTTCTCCGGTCTTCGGTTTGTCGTTCTTGTGTCTCAGTGCGTCATCCGCATGAGCGCATTGGTCGACAATTTCGAATAATCTCCGAGTAGTCATGATGCGCCTCGTTGCCAACTCCTGAGTAGTATAGAGATCTCTGACACCGGATTTGAAAGCGCGAATTACAGAAGCATCGGTGATCTCGGGGATTGTGTTCCTGCACTCGTTAAAGCGCCGAACATAGTCCCTCAAGGATTCGCCCGGGTTCTGTGTTAACGCATGTAGGTCGTCTTCGATCGCGTGGCGCTTGTAAGTTCCTTGGAAGTTGGCTACGAACTGCTGCCACAAGTCTGCCCACGAAGAGATCGAGTAGGGGGGGAGATGCATCAGCCATGAATGTGCAGAGCCTTTCAATGCGCTTGGCAAGTAATTTGCCAACGCGTTGTCGTCCGCTCCGGCAGCGTAGAGTACCGTGGAGTAAACCTGAAGGAACTCTTCGGGGTCGGTGCTCCCATCGTATTTCTCTATTGCTCCAGGTCGGAATCTTTCAGGCCATCGGATATCTCGAAGTGAACGATCGAAAGCTCTACACCTAGTGCTGGGGGCGGTGGGTTGTCGGCGATCATACATCCTTCGTGGATGTCTATCTGACGATGAAGATGACGAGGATGATGACGATGACGATGGGTCGCTTGGTTCCGGCGTACGATTACGAGGACGTCGGCCGGGTTCTCGAGAATCCTGTCGTCGTCTCCCATTGTTGTCTCGGCGCCGATCTCCATCATCATCGTCATTGTGGCGACGTCCTCGACCAGTATCGCCCAGCACCTGCCGTTCGCGATCATCGTGATTGTGGCGGTTGTGGCGGTTATCACGGTCTCGGTCTTCGCTCGAATGGCCTCTTCGATCTTCGTTATCATGACGCCGTGAAGAGGCATGACGCCGGGAACGGTTCTCATTGTCTCGTGTGTGTCGTGCCTCTCGGCGGCCATTCAGGTGATCGCGGAGATCGCCGGTGCCGCGAGGTGGAGGGGTGGCTCAATGAGGCGATTCCCGCCGTTCAGGGTTTTCACCATTAGCATCGCCAGTTGGTGGCTGTTCTGGGTGCGCTGCGGCAGCGGCCTCTTCGAACGCGTTGCTGAGGTTGGTTACTGATTCCTGTAGTCGTTCTGTCCAACGTGCGAGATCGTTGTTCAGAACGGGATCGTAGGGGGTTTCCCTCAGTATTGCGTTGACGGCTCTAATGTGTTGGGCCGGAGTAGTCACTTGATTCTCCGCTTCCGCATTGCTGCGCGCTGACGTGCCGACATCGTCGATAGCCAATACCTCACGCGGCGTACTCGTTGTCGATGATCCATAGTCTTCGAGCAAGTGCAAGACTGATGGTTCGTGGGGATTGATGTCGATTACCCAAACAAATCGATCTGAAATCGGCGTCGCTTCTTGTTCCTTGTCCTTATCCCTGATGGGGATGCGTGACTGCTGGACCTTAGGAGGTGGCCTCTTCATGGCGCTGAGAAAGACCTTGCAGCTCGAGAGGTCGTGATTCTTTGTCTTGTGAATAGGACAATAGACATCACGAGTTGGAGAGGTACGCTAAATTCCACGCTCTTTGCAGGCACGAATTTCAGCATGGACGTTGAGAAAGACCCAGCAGGCTTGCAGGGTGTGTTTCCTGGTTTTGTGGATAGGACACCAGGACCTTGTCACCTCGGAAGTAATCCTCATCGGCTCGTGATTCCTGTCGGAAAGACAAGGCTTGGCCGCACTAGGATCCTTCTCGGGTTCGGATGTCGTCGACATTCCGATCTCTGCTTCGGCGGGAGGATCCTTCGACATGGAGTCGCCCCGGGTTGTAGCCACTGCGTTCTCGTTTCTGGCCATTGGCGGACCAGCTGAGATCAACATTGTGGTGTAATCCGGAAAGACGATTTCGCCGACTTGAGTCCACACCAGTGTTGTTGAAATAGGAACTCCTTGGTTGAGGTTGGTGTTGACGCTGTTGTCGACGAAGCTGGATGTCATAGTAGTAGAACCTTGAGCACCAAGTCCCCCTACCTGGCGCGCTACTGTTGACAGGTGATACCCGTAGACCGGATATAGAGGGTATTGGGGTACGCTGGTACAAGGATCTACGTAATACGACATCAAGCGGACAGAAAACGAAAATTATACTGGTTCAGGCCCCTTGATAGGTAATAGCCCTAATCCAGTTGATATGGGATTATATGATGGAAATCACAGGTTACAAAGGGAATGATGGAACTCGATGATACCGGCGAGATCGTAATCAAGTTGGTTCGACTAGATCTCCCGACGACTTGGCTCCAGTGGGCTTCGACTTGTAGGCTGTGGTGGTTGTGTTGGCTATATGATTCGATCCCTTAAGTCCTCCCGGGGGTCCCTTTTATATCGCAGGTCAGACGGTTCCCAAGCAGTCCTGTCCGAGTAGGACTCTTTCCATCTACAAACTCCGTGAAGGATTCCCTTAATGTATACAGAGAAAGTCCATATACGCGCAAGCATGCCATATCGATATGTGACGTATATCGAAGGGTAAAGTGTATGCCTTACCCGTAACCTTGACAAAAAAGAGGGTAAAAACATTAAGAAACACACCTGTTGACGTAAAACACGAAGCCTGGGAGATCTGCTTAAATCCAGTGTAGGTCCAAAGCTCGCCTTCAGGTGTGTTAGCGTGCCAGTTGATTTAATCCTGCAATCAACAAGAAATAGAGACAAAGAGATCGTGGTTAAATCTATAAATGATAGCCGATCGGCTAAGTGCCGATGACATATCATTTATCTTTGAGCCGATGTTACATGTGAATCGATCGGCGGTTATAAATAGATAATAAGGAACTAAATCTATTCGATCGGCTGTAGATATTAACAATATATAGTTCTTATATCGATATATACTTAAATCAAGTGATTGGGATAGATCGGTCGCCATGCCGAGACAGTATAAATCACTTAGATCGAAATATATATTAATAACAAGATTATATATGTTTATAGCATAGCTGATCAGATAAATCTAGCATGTATCGGCTAATACTCCGATACTTTTTTGTATCAAGATATCAAAACAAGTATGATATATCAAACAAAAGCCTAATATACTTAAATGCAATAAGATCTTGACATAAAGGGCGGATTTAACATATCACTGAAGCATATAGAGCAAATACAATTAAATCAGGTAAGATCGGCTGAAACTCCGACGCTACCCTAATCGGCAACCAGAAGGCAGGCTAGAGATTGATATTCTAAGCACGACTTAATAGATCAAACTCAACTGATGCAGCATTAACTATGAAAAGAAGAACAATATCTAGACAATCAAGCCGCTGGAAGTTTCATAGAGTGGTAGATATCTTATATAATTTAAATCAACATCGATATTTAACCTAATCGGCTGCCCTCTATCAACAGATATTAGCCGATGGTAGGTTAGATGATGATATTGCTAGAGATTATGTAAGATATATGATAACTCGACGAATTACATAAACAAGATTAGAGTATCATAAAGATAGAAGCACTAATCCCAAGAACACAAGCCGTCATAACAAGTTTTACCTCTTGTTGAAGATCGAAACCGATGTAGCTCAACCCGAAAGCAAGAACTCGCCGAAATAAAACTAAAGCAAAAGGGTGGCGATGCGCCGAAATTGTATTGAACGTGTGTGTTTCAAATTACATAGGGCTCGGGGTCTATTTATACCCGAGAATTACAAGATTGTCCATACCGGACACGACTATTATCTCTAACAAACTCTAAGATACCATAAGTCTTTGCGGCAGACTTTTTCCCTAAGCATATCTCTAAGGAAATTACATAAAACATCATAATTAATAGATACAATTGCTTTCTCAGGACTCTATACATGTGCGGCAATCATCTTGAAGCATATTGACTTAACCCGATGTTGTACACCAAGTCGTATTGTCGGAATCGGTTGTATTACCTAACCCAGTCTGACTCGGACTTAGCCGATCCAATTGTAGCCGATCCGGACTCCAGCCGATTCTTACTCTGTTCTCAAATCGATCTCTGTCTCCGGCTCCACTTCGGTCTAATCCTTCTTTCCGATGCTGATATTACCAAATTTGATCATTAACAACACCTCAAATGAAAGAAAATGGTAATATGGCGTGATGATATGTTTGAGCGTGGCATTTTAATGAAACCATATTTTGGAGTGACATTTCAGCGGAACCCCATTCTTAAGATAGTATAGTGTCAATTTTCTCAGCGCGAGGGTAAATTTGTACTTTGGCATGTACATGCTGGAATCGATTCAAGCGAGAATCACATTCGTGGCGGCCCCATGGTGTGACTTTCGACGTGCTTTGGTGGCGGAGGCATCCCCACAGTCCTGGAGCAACACTTTGACCGGTTGCCACAAAAATTTCAGAAAGGGAACATCTAAAAGGCTGTTGCATACTTGGCTGACGTTGATGTTGTTGGAGTGCTGAGTTAAATATGGAAGAAATTCATGTAAAAAAAATGAAAGATATATTCCCTTCGTCAGTATAATAAATTCGAATAGAGATATATTTAAATCTAAAATATTAGAATGTGTCATATTCAGTATTAGATTGGTCGCTTGCGGACGGGGAAGGAGCAGAACACTGAACACACACGATTTCTGTTGCGGTCTCCACGAGCGTGAAATAGGAGAAGAAAACAAAAGAGAAAAGGACAAGGAAAATGGACGACCGCGACCTGGACTCCGCCGCGCTCTGGGCCGCCGTCGACTCGGCGGCCGCCGCCCAAGCCTCCCGCCGCGACCACGACCGTACGCACCTCCGCAATCTGGAGGACGACGAGCATCGAGATCGAGGAGGCGAGGTGGTGCAGCCCGCCCGTCCCTTCAAGGTCCCTCGACTCCTGACTACGCCGCCCCCGCCCTCTCCTCGGCCTCTGCAACTGCAGATGGCCCCCCGGCCCCATTCCTCGCCCAACCTCACCCTCACGCCCGACGCCACCAGGCTCGTCGTCGTCGACACCCCACCTCCCACACCTACCGCCTGCTTCGCCGCCCACGACCTCTTCCCCGCCATCTCCGTCGCCAACTTCAGAAAGTACCAGGAGGCAGCCCTCTCGGTATGTACGTACGGCCCTAATCCTCCTCCAACCTCTAAATTATTACTATTAATTAATTCGTGACACTGGAGTACTCCCATTTAGTACTAGTACTGCTACTTTACTAACCAGCTCTCTGTAAATTATACTACTACTCCTCCTACTAAACTGAATACTGAATTGTTACTGATGCTGCTATTTCAGATTCTAGATAAAAGCGACTACACCTCCATCAGTGGGAATCCATACATCAAGAAATCAGGTCCTTTGATTGACTCATACTCCTAATTGTTGTTGTGATCTGTGATGATCTACTCACTCAAGCATCCTTTTCCATATCCCTTTTCAGGCTGGAGGAAAATATCATGCTTCTTCAATATCTCATTTGAAATCAAGGACCGCTCCATTGAGTTCGATGAAAACCGCAATGTCAACCGTGCCGAGTTTCTCGTTCGAGCATCGATGCAGTTAGTATGCTTTATCTTTCTTACAGAATTATCACTATAACTCATCTTGTTTAAATTAAACGTACCCCTCGCTTACTTTACTTGTATCATCAACTGTTGTTGTTAACTCTTTCTTTCTTTTGTGTTTAAAGAGGTGGCAGGTTTTCGGATGGTTGGGGTTCATGTGATCGGCGTGAGAAAAAATTTAACAAACCAAACCATGATGTTCCCAGCACAGCTGAAACCAGAGCTAAGAACAAAGCCTGTCAGGTAAGGAGAATTGTCACTATGTTTTCACTTTGTCTCAGTTAGGTAGTATTATTATTACATACCAGAAATTCATGCCAGCATGCATATGCTCGTTTAGTAATTTTAGATTTGAACCGTTCTAGTCGCTTGCTTCCAGGGGCGGAGCCAGGATTTTGAGGCACCGGGGTCACATTAGCTAGCCTAAGCTACTGTCATATTTGATAGGGCTCTAATTCTAAGATCAATTTTTTAAGCTACATAGTTTTAGATCCAAAAGTTTTTGGAACTAAAATAATGGTGAATCGAGGTAATTTTGGTGGGATATCAATATTTTAGACTAAACATAAAGTGTTAAATCACTTCAATTAGTTATTTGGACTATAAACTCTAAAGGTGGCAATAATTTATGAGCTAAAACCATCAAAATTGGCTAACTACGCCTAATTATTTTGGCAAAAAAAGTTCTTAAAGTTGTTTATTAACTTAAAAAGGACTAATTTGTAGTACCACTTTAGTAGAATTACTAGCTAGCCTAATTGCATGTATAAACACACTACATTGCTAAAAATAGCTAATTTGTAAGTGCTCAAACATGCTAATGGGTGAGCAGTTCTCACACTAGTCTGTAACTATTATGTATTGCTAGTAGTGTTTACTCTGTGAGCTGCTGCAGTTCATCGGGCTGGGGTCAACAAGCATCGGCTAATGCGGCCACTGCTCGCAATATACAAAGGAACATACTGGTTGGTCAGATATTGTCAGTGTCATCTGACCCTAGTGATACAACGTAGCTCCGCCCCTGCTTGCTACAATGTTCAATAAAACAAACAGAACGGTCAGCAAACAATTTTTAGTTTCCAATTGGGTCGTATTGTAGATCAAGGAGGCAGAAGCAAAAAAAACTGCTAGAGGGGGCCAGACTGCTAAGACGAGTGGGAAGTGAAATATATATATGATGCTCAACATGGATGGAGTTTCAGATCGAGGAGGCTGCAATGATGAGAATGTTAGGATCGCATAGTGCTGATACCTTGGGGTAGGTTGCTGTAGATGGTATTTTGTCAAGTTGTGTTCACTAGCTCCTGTTCTGTTTTTTTAGCTGTTTGATGTTGCCTGTAAGGGTAGAATTCCTAGAAAAGTTAAGACTGTTTTTTTGCTGGTTACCCTCTCCTAACCAGGATGGATACCTGGAGAAGGATGAATTTGCTGGAAGTCATGCACATTTGGTAGTTTCTCATTTCTATCAACGGGAATTTTTTTTTGGGGGGTGGGTCCCGCAGAAGTTACAGTCTGCAAGGCCCACCCACAAAAGAGAATCTTTGAGGGAAAGAATGGCATTGTACTGAGTTATCTTATTTGATGAAGAAACGATGCATGCATTTAGAGATGTGTAGCTTAGAACTAAAGTGTGTGTTACTGGATATATATGGTGGGTAGGCATGTTTTTGACTGGGTCATGACAGGCGTGTGCTTGTGTGGTGCTTTTACGTACTACATTCTTTTATGCATCATTAGGGTACTGGCTTTTACAGTTTAGCTAGACGTAGATGTGAAATATCATGAGTTCACGACAAGTCTGTACTCAGGACAATCCTTACATAAGCTAGTGTGGACCATTGCTATAGTTTATCGGAGTATTTTTATTTCACTATAGATCAATCAATATGTTGGGAGTAACCGTTTGTTGCTGTAAACATGCATATTCCGCAGGACCTTGTTGGTATCGGAAATAGCCATACATTGAAGAACAGCCTTGGCTGATAATCTGCTAAACTGAGGACCGGCGAAACAGTGAGTGAACAAAAAGCGTCGGGAAGCTTCTGCTTCTCCCGATGGACATATCACACAACGTATTTTCTCAAAATCTTTTTGATTACAATCCTTGGATGGATGCTGTTGAGGCTTGTTATAACTAGTTAACTCGACAATCATTGGGTGGTGTTCAGGTAACTTGATGTTGCCCTTAGAAATACGACGCAGGGCAGAAGAGCTAGGTTGCGTACTTGCGTCATTGCGCCAGGTGAAAGTGAACGACTCGTGAAGTGGTATGGCAGGATTAGTATGTACTTATTTTTAAGTAAATTGCATATCGGGATACTCTTTTGTACCATATTGTTACAAATTGGACTAGGGGTAAACAAAGTTTTTCACTTTGGACGGACCACTTATCTTTATCAGTCGCTTCCTCTCTTTATTATCACAGATTCACAGTCCTTTGCCTTCATAAACACCTCTATTCGACAATGTATGCAACTTAAAATTCTACTAGACTACTTACTATGCAATGGATGTGTTCATAGTGGTTTTCCCATCCAAATACCTGTTGGCCATTCGATTGAAGTGACGCTTTACATTTGATTTAATTACCTTGACCACTCAGTATATGATTAGTAACCTCGCTTTGGTTTACATCAACTTAAGTGGGATAGTTGAAGCGTCACCTGGAGTTTTGAGTTGTTCAACTTTAGATGAGGGACCTAAAGTGAACTTTCCCCCCAAAGAAATCAATGAGAAAACGCGGCGTCGTGTATGGGTCGGGCCCATGAAAAAAGGCCCAACAGAAGCTTTCAGTCGAGAGTCGCCGCCACGATGACACACACGCCACGCGCCCCGAAACCTAGACATGATGGAGATGGACAGAGGCGAGGCGACGATGAGGATGCGGCTTCGAAGTTGAACTAGGCGGCGGTGGGCCCACCGCTTCCATTCTTCTCGCCTTTTTCTTCCACCGTTGCGAGTTCTCTCTGCCTGCGCTGCGGCTGCACCCTTCCCCAAGTCGGATTTCCATTGCATTCTCGATTCCATTCCTTCCCCCTCCCCCTCTTTCTTCGACTTGGACTTGGCCTTCCTTCTTCCTCCTCAACCTCGACCTCGATCTAGGTCTACGCTCCGCCCTCCGCCCCCCGCCCCCCGCCGCCGCCAGGTATGTATTCTTCTCTCCTCCTGGGGCCTGGGCTAGGAGGCTAGGGGGCTAGGGAGACGAGGTCCCGAGATTTGCCATACTGATGAATGCTGTTTCGATTCGATTCGATTCCAGGGAGGGAGCCGGAGCCGGAGCCGATCGATGGCGTGGCTCCGCGCCGCCTCGGGCCTCGCCCGCCACGCCCTCCGCCGCCGCGTGCCCGTCGCTTCCCGTTTCTTCCACTCGGCGCGGCCGGCCTGGAGGTCCTCCGCCCCGGTGCCCCGCGCCGTCCCGCTGTCCAGGCTTACCGACAGCTTCCTCGACGGCACCAGCAGCGTCTACCTCGAGGAGCTCCAGCGCGCATGGGAGGCCGACCCCTCCTCCGTCGACGAATCCTGGGACAACTTCTTCCGCAACTTCCTCGGCCAGGCCGCGCCCTCCTCCGCCGGCCTCTCCGGCCAGACCATCCAGGAGAGCATGCAGCTCCTCCTCCTCGTCCGTGCCTACCAGGTTAACGGCCACATGAAGGCCAAGCTCGACCCGCTCCGACTCGACGACCGCGCCGTCCCGGACGACCTCGACCTTTCCCTCTACGGCTTCACCGAAGCTGACCTCGACCGCGAGTTCTTCCTCGGCGTTTGGAGGATGGCCGGTTTCCTCTCCGACAACCGCCCCGTCCTCACCCTCCGCGAGATCCTCAGCAAGCTCGAGCAGGCCTACTGCGGCCCCATCGGCTACGAGTACATGCACATCCCTGACAGGGACAAGTGCAACTGGCTAAGGGACAAGATCGAGACCGCCAAGCTCAAGGAGTACAACAAGGACCGCCGCCTCGTCATGCTGGACAGGCTCATCTGGAGCACCCAGTTTGAGAACTTCCTCGCCACCAAGTGGGCCACTGCCAAGCGCTTTGGCCTCGAGGGCGGCGAGACCCTCATCCCTGGCATGAAAGAGATGTTTGACAGGGCTGCCGACCTTGGCGTCGAGAACATTGTAATCGGCATGCCACACAGGGGAAGGCTTAATGTGCTTGGCAATGTTGTCCGCAAGCCCTTGTCGCAGATTTTCAGTGAGTTCACCGGTGGGACTAGGCCCGTCGAAGGCGAGGATGGCCTCTACACTGGAACCGGTGATGTCAAGTACCATCTGGGCACCTCCTATGACAGGCCAACTCGAGGTGGAAAGAGGATCCACCTATCGTTGGTTGCGAATCCCAGTCACCTCGAGGCTGTCGATCCTGTTGTCATAGGCAAGACGCGGGCAAAGCAATTTTACTCCAATGATCTTGACAGGACAAAGAACATGGGCATTCTCATCCATGGAGATGGCAGCTTTGCTGGGCAGGGTGTTGTCTATGAGACACTTCATCTGAGTGCCCTTCCAAGCTATACAACTGGAGGAACCATCCACATCGTTGTCAATAACCAAGTTGCCTTCACAACAGATCCAAGAGCCGGCAGATCTTCGCAGTATTGTACGGATGTTGCCAAAGCCTTGAACGCTCCTATATTCCATGTAAACGGTGATGATCTGGAGGCAGTTGTACGAGTTTGTGAGCTTGCAGCTGAGTGGCGCCAGACTTTCCATTCTGATGTGGTAGTCGATCTGATCTGTTACCGACGATTTGGACATAATGAAATCGATGAGCCCTCCTTCACACAGCCAAAGATGTATCAGGTGATCCTCATTCTACTGATTTCAATTATTTGTTTATGGATAGCTGATCGTTTTCTCATATAGGTTGCACTCGCCCATTGCTTTATACCTTTGCCTTGTTACTTCCTTGCATTTGATGTTCAGTTGCTGTCAATATGATTGCTACTTGTGCTGTTTTACTATTCTTTTTTCCTTTCCTTTTGGAGTGTTCCTGATGAAACTTTTTCTGTGGCAGGTTATTAAGAACCATCCTAGTTCATTAAAGCTTTATGAACAGAAACTGCTAGGAACAGGCGAAGTCTCAAAAGAAGACGTTCAGAAGATCCACGAGAAAGTCAACAGAATCCTGAATGAAGAGTTTGCAAAAAGCAAAGATTATGTTCCCAATAAGAGGGACTGGCTTTCGGCTTACTGGACTGGCTTCAAGTCTCCTGAGCAGATTTCACGCGTCCGCAACACTGGGTAACCGCATCCTTTATACTGATCATCTCTTTGTAATTTATTCCTTCACCAAATACCATCCATTATCATCGAGAGTGCTTTCCCTGCAGGGTTAATCCAGGGGTGCTGAAACGTGTTGGACAGGCAATTACTACTTTACCTGAAGACTTCAAGCCCCACAGGGCAGTGAAGAAGATTTTTGAGCAGCGTGCAGCAATGATCGAGAGCGGTGAAGGAATTGATTGGGCCGTTGCTGAAGCCCTTGCCTTTGCAACACTCATTGTGGAAGGCAACCATGTTAGGCTGAGTGGACAGGACGTGGAAAGAGGAACTTTTAGCCACCGTCATGCAGTTCTGCATGACCAGGAAAACGGGAGGAAACATTGCCCACTTGACCATGTTGTGATGAATCAAAACGAGGAGCTGTTTACCGTTAGCAACAGGTAATTACACTTTTTGGTTCTTTCGTATGTACTTTTTTTTGTCTAGATGCTAAATTTGGATAAAACATCATCTGCCTTTTTCCTATTCTTTAATTAAGCCTCTAGAACCTTATCGTAAATGAGAACAAATATTGTCTGATATTATGTGTTATTGCAGTTCACTTTCAGAATTTGCTGTTCTTGGTTTTGAAATGGGGTACTCCATGGAGAACCCTAATTCACTAGTGCTCTGGGAAGCTCAGTTTGGTGACTTTTCCAATGGTGCACAAGTGATGTTTGACCAGTTTTTGAGTAGTGGAGAGGCAAAATGGCTGCGTCAAACTGGCCTTGTCGTTCTACTGCCTCATGGTTATGATGGCCAAGGCCCAGAGCATTCCAGTGCCCGTTTGGAGCGCTTTCTTCAGGTAATTCTTTGCAGCAAACTTTCTTCCTCTCTGTCAGATGCATCTAGTTTAGCCCAAGCCCATTCAATCACAAGAAGTCTCTTTGTTGATTCAAACTGCTACATAAAATGCGATGCACTTCTAAAATGCCAATTCTTTATGTTTGGCGAATCAATGACCATGTCTGGTATTCATATTTCCAAGGCATAAATTGTTATATACTCCCTCCGTTTCATAATGTAAGACTTTCTAGCATTGCTCATATTCATATAGATGTTAATTAATCTAGACACACATATATGTTTAGATTCATTAACATCTATATGAATGTGGACAATGCTAGAAAGACTTACATTATGAAACGGAGGAAGTACTTGAGATAGTGTAGCCATAGTGATGATCAAGCTCTCTTGCATTTTCATAATTTCTGGTTGAATGGTACGCTCAATTCTTGTATATACACTGCTCACATGAGATTCTAAATTCTGTCCAGATGAGTGATGATAATCCTTTTGTCATACCTGAGATGGAACCAACACTCCGCAAGCAGATCCAGGAGTGTAATTGGCAAGTTGTGAACGTGACAACGCCTGCAAACTATTTCCATGTGCTGCGTCGTCAGGTCTGTCTATCTTCAGTATGCATTCCAGATGCTAGCATGCAAATTGCTTTTATTAATTTTCGTCTGTTGTTTTGAGGGCATTAGATACATAGGGAGTTCCGGAAGCCCCTGATTGTAATGGCCCCCAAGAACCTACTTCGGCACAAGGATTGCAAGTCAAATCTCTCTGAGTTTGATGATGTTGAAGGCCATCCAGGTTTCGATAAGCAAGGAACACGCTTCAAGCGGTTGATAAAGGACCGGAATGACCACAAGCAAGTCGAGGAGGGTATCAAACGCCTTGTATTGTGTTCTGGGAAGGTACATAAGACTTTGAAATTTGATCATATTACCAGTTCAATACAAATATGTGCTGTTATTAAATTGCCATTTTGCAGGTGTACTATGAGCTTGATGAAGAACGGAAGAAGACTGAACGCAGTGATGTTGCAATTTGCAGAGTTGAACAACTTTGTCCATTCCCATATGATCTTATCCAGAGAGAGCTAAAAAGATATCCAAGTATGAATGCTTTTCCCCATGTATTTAATCCATTACTTGTGTGAATGCATGCATCATGGTTTGCCATTTCCACCAGCAGTTCCTGGAATTTTTGGTCCTCCCGGAAACTGATGTTGGTAACCTAACAACATTTCAAATATTTTCATGCGGTGATATTGCTTTCTTTATGGTATGCTTTGGTATTTCTGCACCAATATTTTTGTTTTCCGCTCCATGTGCTGCACATATCTGAGGACTGAGTACACAGCTTCTTGTTTAGAAAATATTCACTTGTCCTCCACATGTCTGAGGACAGAGTTTGTTGCTTCTTGATAAGAAAACCTAGGCAGTCTTGGCACTAATAGTTGGTGATGCACAGATAGCGCACAAGTATCACTGGGTGGTCTTTGTTCCTTACTGATATGGTGGCTAGTCTCCACCAGTGCACTTTTACGTCAAGGCATCCCAAGTTGTTACAATGTACTCCATCCGTTTTATATTATAAGTCATTTAACTTTTTTTTTCTAGTCAAACATTGTTAAGTTTGACCAAGTTTATAGAAAAAATTAACAATATCTAAAATATGAGATTAGTTTCATTAAATCTAACATGGAGTATTGTTTGACAATATGTTTGTTTTGTGTTGAAAATACTACTATATTTTTATATAAATTTGATCAATTTTGAAGAAGTTTGACTAGAAAAAAAGTCAAACGACTTATAATATGAAATGGAGGGAGTAGTATGCATTGTTATGCCCTACCACATTTTAGTTGCTGAACTGTTCTGATTATCATAATTGCACCATCTTAATTTGTAGATGCGGAGATTGTCTGGTGCCAAGAGGAACCCATGAATATGGGCGCATATAGTTACATCTCCCCTCGCCTGTACGCCTCTATGAAGACTCTTGGGCGTGGTTCATTCGATGACATCAAGTATGTGGGCAGGGCGCCTTCAGCTGCGACAGCTACTGGCTTCCTGTCGGTTCATGCGCAGGAGCAGACAGAGCTGGTAAAGAAAGCACTGCAGGCAGAGCCTATCAAGTTCCCCTGATATGATGCATCTGTGGTTTCCACTTGGTGCTTATACTTGTGCAAGACAAGTGTGTGCGAGCTCAGCTCGTCCAGCCTTTGCACACATACCATACCATCTTAAAAGTTTTGCTATGTATTTACAAGCTACTGTTTCTCTAGCTTGTTTGAGGCGATTCGATTTGAATGTCGTGAATAATGCACTATTTGAGCCTTCTTATCGTTGAGGAGGAACCTGTTTCGACGTGAGCAACAAATTTTGCAATATAGTAGAAGCTTTAGCTTCCTTTCTTTTTTCTCTTGATATGCAATATGATGTAGCACATCTGCACATTGTTGTTTGATCTCCTTGCCACACTTGAACAAAAAGATAGGAGTAACTCGTTTAAGAAGAAAACACCATAGGAAGATGAGGGCAATCATCTATTCATCTTAACAAAATCATGGTGTTTACCGTATTGGTGAAGGTGTACAGCGTCGTTCTCGTGTCAATCGTCGCATCCAAGTAACTGTGGGCGGCGGACTGAGGTGTCGATGCACAACAGTTTGGAGCACGAAACAGTTGTGCTTAGATTTTTAATCAAAGAAAAGCTCGGCTGTTCCTTTAGCAATGAGTGGTTCAGACTTGGGTTAATGCAAAGGACTCATCTGTAAGAGCATCTACGAGAGGTGTCCAAAATTAGACCCCAAAAATTCTATATTAGGAGCATGCAAAAAGATAAGAGCCAATGCAGAGATCCGAGTCCGTCGGAGCTGCAAGCCTGCAACTACAACATGATGAGGAAACGAACAAACGGGGCAGTTAAATCACTCATAACTCATGATCTGAGTCTCATGTGTTTAACAATTTACCGCTCATAATCTATGATGTGAGCCTCATGTGTTTATGATGTGGGTTAGTGATAAATTGTTCAATATCATGTCTAAAAAGGAAACCCGTTAAAAGAGAGTTGCAATTTTATCACTGGTTTAAATTATTATTGTGATACTGCTATAAAAAATTAGAAAAATACTCAAACAATATACTTGTAAAATTAAGAAAACCAATAACAAAAAGTTGCAAATGTATCGGTAATTAAATATATCTAAGTTTGGATTCCTTTGGAGGCTTTCTCGCTTTCGACCCAGCTGCGGCCTGCGGGAGGCGTCCCCATTGCCGTAAAAAAGAAAGAAGAGAAAAGAAAAGGGTAGGAGAAAGAAACCGCCGCCGCCGCCGCCGCCGCCGCCATGACTCCCGCCGATGCCTTCCTCATCCTCGACTTCCTCGCCGGCAACCGCCTCATCCCCCACTCCGTCTTCACCACCCTCCTCGCCTCCCTCCCATCCGTCTCGCCCCACACCTCTCCTCGCCTCCGCGCAGGCCTCGCTCTCCGCGCTCTCGACTCCGCCCTCTCGATCTCGGAGTCGTCGGAGATGGACGCCCCCACCCTCCTGCGCAAGGCGCGGGCTGTCCTCGCGGATCCAGACCTTGCCCCCTTCTTTCCGCAGCACCTCGCTGCACCCGCCTCTGCCGACGACGCCCCGGCCGCCGCCGTGGCTCACCTCAACCGCCTTCTCGACGTTGAGTGGGCGAGCCTCCCTCCTTCCTCGCTCGAGATCGCGGCCGAACGGATCGTTGGCTCTCAAGCCCTCCATTCGTGGGCAAATGCCGACCACGCCCAACGTTCAAAGCTTCGTCTACTCGGTGGGCATCCCCTTTCTTAATCTTCGAGTTCAATCCCCTCTTCATCATCGCTGACTGCTCTTCCTGTTATGTAATTTGGGTGTTACTTATTTCAAATTCCAGGTCTTGAAATTACTGCTATTTCATAAATTTTGGCATATGCCTCTGTGCAGCTGAAAAATACTCCACTTCTTTGTATCAGTTTTACTCACCCTTAGCCGTTTCTGCAGTAGGAGAGTCCACAGCGCTTGAGATTTTAGACACGCTTCAACGGCCGGATGCATCCACAAATCATCCAGGAACGCTGCCTCAAGTTGATAATGCACCGGAAACAAACGGTGCTTCTCATTGTGCTCAACAAAACGATGGGGCCAAGAGCGGTCTTGTTAAACAAAATGCTGAAGCCGATCGTCCTCAACAAGATAGCACTCGACATCAACAAGACTCGGTGCAAGGAGCATCCAATTCCCAACTTAAAGAAAGTTCAGTAACAATGGAATCTATTAGAGGCACGGGTCCTGATATCACAGGCTTTATGGAAGAAGCTACACCTCGTGTTGCTGGACAGTTTGCCCCTGACAACATCAAGAACCATCAAGTCACAGGTTCTAAGCGCAGTTTAATGGAGAGGAATCCGACTGCCAGCACTTATGAGGTTATCTCGTTATGTTTTTGTTGTACTGGTGATGGGAAAGAAACAATATTGCCAAGGTTGTGCATATTAGTCATTCTATCTCGTAGCCCATCAACATGCTTAGCCAGCTCTTTAGTTTGTTATGACCATGGCTAGTGTAGAACCTCCTTGTTTGAAATATTTTGCTTAATACAGAATGAATGAGTTGCTCTGATGTATCACTTGCAGGTTGTTAGTTAATCTAGTCACCTTTGATACTCCCTCCGTTTTTTAATAGATGACGCCGTTGACTTTTTCTCACATATTTGACCATTCGTCTTATTCAAAAATTTTATGCAAATATATAAGATATAAATCACACTTAAAGTACTATAAATGATAAAACAACTCATAACAAAATAAGTTATAATTACGTAAATTTTTTGAATAAGACGAATGGTCAAACATGTGAGAAAAAGTCAACGGCGTCATCTATTAAAAAACGGAGGTAGTACTTTGTTACGCTTCTATTTCTGTGCCCTTCGCGAGGAGTGGAGATGGACCCCATGTCTTGTTGCCTCGATTTTTTTTTCTTGTGAAGTGCAGTTGACTGGTTTACCTACGATCTACTCATAACATATACTAATTCATGTGCGGTTATCTGTTATTATATTATATAGGGGGAGCATTTGTGTAATATTATGGTGGTATCTCATCGTATTTTTGAAGTGCAGTGGGATGGCAGCGATTCCGAAGGGAAAAGGCCTGCAGCAAAGCGCCGGTTACCCATTTTTGAAAGGACAGCAAAACCTTCTCCTACAGCTGCACATAAGACGAGAAAAAAGTGGAGCGAGAAACAAGAAAAAACCTTGCTGGAAGGGGTGGAGAAGTATGTTTTTTTTCATTCAAGCATGCATTCTTGGTTTGGATTTGCTGTTTAACTTTCAATTTTTTTTTGGGGAAATCTATCCAATTTCCGACACAGTCGGATGTGCTTTGAGACGTGTGCAGGTGTGATGGGGTAAAAAACAACTTTGGGTTGATCGCACGCAACCCACTGAGCTACCCACCTTTTGTGACTTACACATCACTTGCACCCTGGTTATATTGTAATTACATGCTAATTACATACATTTGACAGATTTTTTTTTGGGGTCTGTCGAATGTGGAAGTTCCTTCTTGGTTTGGTTGCTCTATGATGGTATTGATCCATTGAGTATGATGAGTTTTCATTGTTAACATAGGTATGGAAAAGGCAACTGGAAAGATATCAAAATGGCATACCCTGATGTATTTGAAGATAGATCGACAGTACGTACTTTGATTTGCTAATACTATTTTGCTTGTTTTTAGTAAACTCGAAGGTTAATTTGGTCCCTGTGCAGGTAGATTTGAAGGATAAATTCAGAAATTTGGAAAGGCATCTATGCGCTTGAGGCGTGCCTACTTTAGGAGGAATTGTTATGGTATATATATAGCGACTTGAAGTTAGCTATGCCAAAGCAGACGCATTCTGTAGTCCTGGATGGATGATGGTAGCTATGTTTATAGTGCCTTTTTTGGTTGTGATTTTGTGAAGTGTAGCCAGCTAGTTTTATTTGGTCGGCTATCCTTGTTTTGTTTTGTACAGGATAGAGGAGCGATATCGGTGGGGAACTTCCTGCTCTGAACGCTTATTTTCTATCTTCTATCTTCATGGCTATCCTTGTTTTGTTTTGTACAGGATAGAGGAGCGATGTCGGTGGGAACTTCCTGCTCTGAACGCTTATTTTCTATCTTCTATCTTCATGTGTCTGTATTGTTGTTTGTCCTTGCTACAATTTCCAGTGGTGCTGCCAGCTGTGAATGAGCCAGTTTTAGTTTTCAGATATCTTTTAGCACTTGTCTCTTGCTTTCATAATTACTAGCTGGGTGCCCATGCGTTGCAATTGGAAATAATTAGAGCAACTTTAAATCTTAATGGGTGGGATGATAAAAAATGAACCCCCGTTGCAAACATAAACATCATTGTTAACACAGACAATAGCTATATTCCATTTCTATGGTTTTCACATATTAGTAACATGAACGGTGGAAAAACATAATATAAAAGAAATAGAATGGCACACAATTATTACGGAGTGATCAACATGTCAAAGTTTAAAAGTCTATTGAGGGCATATATATCACCAAAATAAAAATATACAATCGTGAATTTTGATATTACAGAAGCACAATGCATTGCATGTAGCATCCGAAATCAGTTAAAAATCAGGTATCTTCACCAAATTCTAAAATCATATTCAAATTTACCAAATAACTTTGCCCCAGATGCACAAAAGGATTAAAAAAAATCAATATTGTCAACAATGCACTGGTTGTAATTAGACAACTCTTAATCAGCCACCTCATCTTTGCTGAACATACAACTCTGATAGTCTCCATTTCTCTATATGGTTGTCTGGTCCTCCATGCACCAAGAAAGAAGTATATTGTTTCGAAAGATAAATGGACACATTCGCTTCTTTTGCTTTCTTTAAACCTTTTTGTTAGGTTTTAAAGCAATCAAAGAGATATATAGAGAAATGGAGGACTCCTACTGGATTACCTCCACTTGCTGGAGGGCTGATCTTACGAAACAGAAAGCAACTTCAGTTAAAAGACAGAAGTATAGCTTAAGGAAAAATGTCCAATGAGCATGTCAGCCAAATATCATTATATATCTCAAAACCTAACTGCAAGTGTGCAAAATAGCAAAATGGATGCTCGAATATTTTTATTAAACACGTGGATGCAATTTAAATTATAATCAAATATGGTAAATTTTGGAGAGTTAAAAATTATACCATACGAACATCTGTGTTTTGATATGATAAAATAGTTTTGATGTTTCTAGAGCACATATACTGTTTTTGAGTCTATAAACAACTGGATTATCTTAACCTCAAAATGTATTCCAGATTTTATTAAAAATGGACTGTATCATAGCAAATTCAAATGACTGAAATAAGTCAGTACACAAATCAGATTTTAGTATCATTCCTGAGGGATATAGAGAAGGAAAATTCAGAACCAATTTTTCAGATAAGTGATGCACTGCCTAAGTGCCTATGTACTTTTTTATCACTCTGACAAGGCCACACAAAAGTTCGGCCCTAATTGCACTCATGAGAAAAGACCAGGGTAACCAAATCTAGAACCACTAACAAACAATATCCTTATTTGTTAAAAGATCAAAAAGTAAATTATACTCACAATAAAAGTTCAGTTCTTCGGTAATTTATCTCCAAGATTCAGTCTCACTGCATTTCACAATGTTGTTAAGGCTTAATTTCTTTAGACCCTGAGGTCAAGTATAATTAATTTCTTAGATCGTACCAATTTACAAAAATTGTCTGCAAAGCACACATGGATCAAAATGTCAGTATTATTTAGATCTTGTAGTGATATGCCAGAATAATATATTTGTAAAATAGGCCAACATTGATTATATTTGAGTGCAATGAAATAAAATATTCAATGTACTACGGTCATATTATATATAGCACTTCGAAGCATCATAGCCCCCGTTGTTAATTTTGGTAATTAATGACAAGCGCTAATTGTGGACTAACTATTCTATTGAGCGATATATTTGAGTTAGGACCACATGATGTACATGCCATGGATGATCACCGCGGATTAAAATTAATGGCACAAAGCAATGGAACAAAGATGGTAAATCTAGCATTTTATTTTAATTTGATCGAAGTGTTAGGTGATCAAATTTTGCTAGGTTTATTTCTAGCTTTGTCGCACTATCAAGAGAGGTAATGACCTAGGTAAAGAGTTGATCAAAATGCCACATTAGGTCATTTGCATTGTCACTTGGTTCGAGTTCATTTCATACATCATTTTCTGCTTGAGGACGGTCTGACCGAGGGCTTCATGCTGGTCTAACTAGCATTTCTTGGTTGGTCTAACCGGGCGGTTGGTGAGCCGGGATGTGTGCCTTGGCTTGACGATCTAGAGCCGCTAGAGCTAACGCCGGTCTAACCGGGCCGCCGGCGGTTTGACTGGAGCCGATGGTGGTCTGACTGGCTAGCTGCTGCCCGTGCATTAAGTGCACAGTAACATTGGTGGGCGATCTGACTGGCAGGCAACTGAGGTTGGCGATTTCGACCCCAACAACTAGTTTTGGTGGGTATACTCCCCCACCAGCAGGAAGGGGACCCTCTTGGCACTTGCTTCACTTGCATACACCCCTTGCATCCACTCTCACACCACTTGAGCTTTTCTTCGTCCATTGTTGGTGTCAGGAGGGTTGATTGAGCCAAGACAAGTGCATTGCTTCATTGTTAAGAGTTAGTGTGGCACTTGATCATCTCCTAGCCGGGTGGTTACTTGTTACTCTTTTAGGTTGACGCCTCCTAAACGGCTTGGAGTAGTTGCCCGGTTGTGATCTCTTCGAGAAGATTGTGGAGAAGGCCTAGTGTTGGTTGTAAGTGGTTTGGAGTTCACCACCTTTAGAGTGAACGAAGAACTACCCTACTGATCGAGGCTTGGGTAGTCCACCCGGCTCCCACCTTGCCCACCTCTAGACGAAGGGGACTCGGTGGCTTTATGGATTGAGCGGTGAAGTTGGGCTCGCCTCAACAGGGATTAGGAAACTAGCGAGTTTTCGAACCTTGGGTGAAAAATTCCTTGTCTCTTGTCTCATTTACTTTTGTGCAATTTACTTTCATAGAGACATACTTAAGCCCTTTATCACCCTAGGCTTGCAAAACATAATCTAGATGCTTAGTTGTATCTCTCGCCTACCTTACCAACTTAGGTTAGTTTTGATTAAGTGCTACTACCTCCGTCCCAGATTAATTGTAATTCTAGGTTGTTTAGCATATATTAAGGTTTGAGAAAAAAAAGACTATAATACCCTTATTAAATGGTTTATAGGTAAGAGTGGAGGGTAGTTGATGGTAAAATAGGAAGAAATTTGAATAAGAAGTGATTGATGAGATCATTAGTACTCTATTGTCACAATTATTTTGGGACAAATTCAAAGCCTAGAAATACAATTATTATGGTACAAAGGTAGTATTTATTTTTAATATCGCCTAATCATCCCCCTCTAGTCGACATCTCAATCCTAGGTATCATAGTTTGGTCTCTTGATTTGACTTTACCACCTAGAGAGAAGATGTCGAATAAGGTGAACTATATAGGGAAGGCTCCCATGTTCAATGGCACAAATTATTCCCTTGGAAAATTAAGATGTCTACTCACCTTAAGGCTATGAGCTTTCATATAGGGTTTGATAGAGTTAGCAATCTTAAGGCCACTTATGAGATTTGGAACAATTTGAGTGAAATTCATGAGGGCACAAATGAGTACAAGGACACCAAGCTTCACTTTCTCAAGATACGATATGAGATTTTTGGCATATTGCCCAAAATTATAGAAGATACGCATTAATTTATTTCCAAAAGGTATACTCATGAAGCTTGGCCGAAGGCAAATTGTAGGTCGAATGGAAAAATCATGAATGTTTTGTCCTGAGGTTAATACTTGGGAACTTCATGTCCAACGTAACAACATTCCATATCTAACACTCATGAGATTTTGGATGGAAAAAAAATATTCAGCCATTTCCCCCCAAGGTCAATGCTCATGATTTTTTTTCCAAAGGCTGACTCATGAAATCATAATGAAGGGAAAAATCATGATGTCAACGATTGCAAGGCCAACACTCATGAAAGATTGACCGGGAGAAGTATTCATGCGTTTTCCTCAAAAGGTAATACTCATGAATTTCGTCCGAAGACTATAATTATAGGCCAATGAAAATTTGAGTGGCAACCTTAGTATTAGTGAATTTATTGCTCAACTATCCCAAGGCTAACACTCACAAAACTCTAGGAAAGAGAAAAATGTCCATTCATTATTTTCTAAAAGATTAATACTCACGAATTTTGATTGAAGGTTATAGCTCTCGAAATTATATGCTCAGGGCGATAAAATTTTGTGCCCAACGATCCCAAGGCTAACACTAATGAGATTTTTGATGGGAGAAAAATATTTGTGTTTTTACTCCTAATGTAATCATAAGCTGAAGGGGAAAAACAAGAAATTTGTTTTCGAAAGGTTAATATTTATGAATTTCATGCCTAACAATCCCAAGGCTAGCACTCATGAAAGATTGATCGGGGAAACGTATTCGTGCATTTCCCACCAAAAGGTTAACACTCATGAATTTTGGTCAAACCCTATATCTCACGAAATTATAGGCCAAAGGGGAAAATTCCTGAGATTTTTTTCCTAAGTTTAGTATTTCTGAATTTCATGCCCAAGGATCCCAAGTCTAACACATGATATTTTGGGTGGGAGAAAAGTATTTGCGTGTTTTCCCGACGAAAGTTAATACTCATAAATTTATGACGAAGGCTATAACTCATGAAATTATAAGTCGACAGGAAAAATCATGAATTTTTTAGTCCCAAAGTTAGTATTAGTAAATTAATGCACAACGATCCCAAGGCTAACACTCATGAAACTCTACGAAGGAGAATGATGCCCATTAATCTTTTTTCGAAAAGGTTAATACTCCTGAATTTTGGCTAAATGGGAATACACATGAATTTTGGCTAAAGGGGATCACAAACAAAGCTATATATGTTGACAAGGAAAAATCATGAACTTTTTAGTAGTCCTGAGGTTAATATTAGTGAATTTAATGCTCAATGGTATGAAGGCTAACATTCTTGAAACTCTAGGAAAGAGAAAAATGTCCCTTCATTTTTTCTTCCAAAAGATTGATACTCATGAATTTTGGCTGAAGGTTATAACTCTCGAAATTATACGCTGAAGGCAATAAATCACGAAACTTTATGTCCTAAGGTTAAAATTTATGAATTTCATGCCAAACGATCCCAAGGCTAACACTCATGAGAATTTTGGACAAAGAAATATTCGTGTGCCCCCCCCCCCAAAAAAAAATAATACTACTGAATGTCGACGTCCAAGGGGAAAATTTATAATATTTTTTGTCCTAAGGTTAATATTTTTAAATTTCAGGCCAAAGGACTAGTGGTCCAACACTCATGATATTTTGGGCGGGATAAATATTCGTGCGTTTTGTCCCCCAAAGGTTTCATGCCCAACAATACCAAGGATAACACATTAAATTTTGGTATCTAGGATAATATTCGTGCGTTTTCCACCTAAGGTCAATAATCATGAATTTTGTCGGAAGGATATAACTCACGAAATCATAAGTAGAAGGGGAAAATCATGAAATTTGTTTTCCAAAGGTATTAATTCGCGAATTTCATTCCGAACGATCCCAAGGCTAACAGTCATGAAATCTTGACTGGGAGAAACCTCCTACGATTCCCCCCAAAACGTTAATACTCACAAATTTTGGCCAAAGCCAACTTAAGAATATAGGCCAAAAGGGGAAAATTCCTAAATTTTTGTGTCCTAAGGTTAATATTTCCGAATTCCGTGCCAAAGTATCGCAAATCTAACACATGATAATTTGGGCAGGAGAAAAATATGCGTGCATCCCCCACTCGAAAGGCCGACGAGAAAAAATCATGAAACTTTTAGTCTCGAGGTTAGTATTAATGAATTTAATGCCCAACGATCCAAAGGCTAACACTCACGTACCCATTCATTTTTTTTCCAAAAGGTTAATACTCAAGAAACTTGGCCTAAGGCTATAACTCATGAAATTATGGGCTAACACCCAAGAAATCATGACCGAGAGAAAAAATATTCATGCATTTTCCCCAAAGGTTAATCCTTATGATTTTTTTCTCCGAATGCTATTACTCACGAAGTTATAGGCTAAAAGTGATTAATCACAAAATCTTTTATCCTAAAGTTAAAATGCACGAATTTCGTTGCCAATGAGCCCAAGGAAAAGACTTCTTAAATTTTGGAATTTTAAGGAGAAAAATATTCATGTATTTCGTCTCCCAAAGTTAATACTCGTGATTTTGTCGAAAGCAATTACTCTCGTAATTATAGACTACAGGTGATAAATCACGAATTTGGTCAAAATTTGCTAATTTTGTGCTAAACGATGCCAAGGCTAACACTAACACTCATGAGATTTTGGATAGAAGAAAAATACCCATGTGTTTTCCCCTAATATCAATGCTCATGAATTTTATCCAAGGGCTATAGCTCAACTCACGTAATGATAAGTTGAAGGGAAAAAAAGTGAAATTTATTGCCCGAAGGATAATATTCATGAATTTCATGCCCAACGATGCAAAGGCTAACACCTAACACATGAAATCTTGATCGGGAGAAAAAAATATTTGTGCATTTTCTCCCAACAGGTTAATTACTCATGAGAAAAAAAATATTTGGCCTACAACTCACTAAATTATAGGCCAAAAGGAAAAAATATTGAAATTTTTAGTCCAAAGGTTAATGTTTCTGAATTTTGTGCCAAAGGCTCCTGAGTCTAACACATGATATTTTGGACGGAAAAAATATTTGTACATTTTCCCCCGAAGGTTAATACTCATCATTTTTTCATGAACGCTATAACTCACAAAATTATGGACTAAAGGCAATAAATCACAAAATACATTGTTATTCATGTGTTTTCTGCCTAAGGTTAATACTCATGAATTTTGCTGGAAGGCTCTCACGAAATCACCAGCCAAAGAGGAAAATCATGAATTTTGTTTTCCAAAGGTTAATATTTTTGAATTTAACACTCATGAACTTTTGATGTGGAGAAAATACTTTTCTCGTCCCACCCCCTCAAAGCTTAATACTCCGAAATTTTGGACGAAGCCAAGTCACGACATTAAGGTCAAAGGAAAATTCTTGAAATCTTTTGTCCTAAGGTTTATATTTTTTAATCTTGTGCAAAAGTATCTTAAGTCTAACACATGATATTTTGGGTGGGAGAAAAATATTCGTGCATCCCCTATCCAAAAGGTTAATACTCATAAATTTTGGCCAAAGGCTATAACTCACTAAATTATAGGACGACGGGGAAAAATCATGAATTTTTGGTAATGCCCAACGATCCCAAAGATAGCACCGATGAAACTCTACGAGTGAGAGAGGTGTCCATTCATTTTATTCCAAAAGGTTAATTCTCATGAATTTTGGCCGAAGGTTATAGCCCGCGAAATTATACGCTAAAGGAGACAAATCATGAATTTTTTTGTCCTGAGGTTAAGTTTCGCGTATTCTGTGCCCAACGGTCCCAAGGCAGAGCTGTGTTTGAGAGGAAAGGTAAAGAGGAGATTGAGAAGAGGTAAGGAAAAGAGAGGATTGAGAAGATGCGCAAAACGATGTGAGCCATTAGCACATGATTAATTGAGTATTAACTATTTTAAATTTTAAAAAATGACAACCCTAAACCGTTTAGCAGAACGAGAGAAATCTTCTCTCAATCAGTAGCTGAACGCAGCCTAAAACTCATGAAACTGTAGGATGGAGAAAATTGTCCATCAATACTAATGAATTTTGGCTAAAGTTAATAGCTTGCGAAATTATAGGATGAAGGTGATAAATCACGAAATTTTTTGTCCTAAGGTTAAAATTCACGAATTTCATGCCCAATGATCCAAAGACTAACACTCGTGATATTTTGGACAGGACAAAAATAATCGTGCCTTCTCCACAAAGGTTAAAACTCATGTGCAACAATCTCAATGGTAATACTTGTGAAACTTTGTGCTTGTTTTGGCCAAAGACTCAATTATAGGCTATCGGAAAAAAAGTAATAAAAACTTTTGAACTAACATTAGCGTCAACAAACGGCATGCAGAAAAAATCCGACGTAAATACTAGTGAAATTTTAGGCCCGAGAAAAAAAAATCATGTGTTTCTTTTTCATATGATAAGACTCACAGGTTTTAGCTGAAGACTAACTCACAAAAATATAGCCTAACGATCAAACAACATGCACAACGATCTTGATGCTAATACTAGAGTAATTTTGGGTATGTGGAATAAATTCATTTGTTTTTTCAAAAGTTAACACTCAAGTTTTAACTGAAGGCTATAACTCACGAAAATATAGCCAGAAGGCAAAAGATCATGACATTTTTTGTCGTAACATCAATATTCCCAAACTTAATGATTTTTTACAAAACCCTAAATTCATGCCTATTTTAAAGGTTAAGACACTCTGATTTTATCGCAAGATTATAACCCTCGAAAGTATAGCCTAAAGCCAAAAAAATCAAATTTCATAAAACTACATATACTTTGCACAATCTATCACAAAACTACAGATTTAATAACTTATTTAACAAAACTATAGATTTAGTGTATTCATTTATCACACAACTACATGTACTTGCACAATATATTACAAAACTACAAATTTAGTATCTTCATTATTCACAAAATTATACTTCCTTCGTTTCACAATGTTAGACTTTCTAGCATTGCACACATTCATATAGATGCTAATGAATCTTTATATATAATAATGTCTAGATTCATTAGCATCTATATGAATATGGACAATGCTAGAAAGTCTTACATTGTGAAACGGACGGATAGGTCTTAGCATTGTTAAAACCTGTAGTTTTGTGATAATGGAGACACTAAATCTGTAGTTTTGTGATAAATGAAGACACTTAATGTGTAGTTCTGTGATAAACAAATACACTAAATCTATAGTTGTGTGAAATTTTAAATCTGTAGTTTTGTGATAGATTGTACAAAGTACATGTAGTTTTGTGATAAGAAGACACTAAATCTGTAGTTTTGTGATACATTATGCAAATTACGTGTAGTTTTGTGAAATTTACTCTAAAATTTTTGATGTAATGTTAAGATTCACAAACTCTATGCGCAACAATCTCAATGCTAATAAAAGTAAAATTTTGGGAAAATCATATGTTTTTTTACAAAAAGATTACACTCATGAGGCTAACATGAAAATAGTGTGATGGCAAACAATCATGAATTTATTTTCTTGTAATGTTAATGGTAACAAAATTGATGTGCTACCATCCCGATACTAATACTAGTGAAGTTTTGGGCTGGAGAAAAAAATCATGCGTATTTTTCTAAAGGTCAATACTCGCGTGTTTCTACCTAAGGCTATTATTAACACACGAGAGTATAAGCCAACGGCAAAAATCATGAATTGGCAAGAGAAATATTTATGTGTTTTCCTCCCAAACTTTAATACTCATGAATTTTTGTGGAAGACTACAACTCTCGAAACTATAGAGCGATGGAAAAAATCATGAAAGTTTTAGTCTGGAGGTTAATATTCATGAAAGTTTTAGTCTGGAGATTAATATTATGAATTTTGTGCCTAACGATCCCAAGGCTAACATTCACGATATTTTGGGCAGGAGAAAAATATTTGTTCCTCCTTTACCTAAGGTTAGTATTCACGCTTTTTCAGAAGGCTTTAAGTCACGAAATTATAGCATGAAGGTTAAAGTTAACTAAACTTTAGTTCCTAAGGTTAACATTCACGAGTTTTGTGCTCATTGGATATTCAATCTTTTTTACCAAGGATTGCTGCTCATTAATTTTGGCTGATGGCTATAGCTATAACTCACGAAATTATAGCTAGAAGCTAAGTTATGGAATTTTTGGTCCTATGGTTATTAATTACGAGTTTTTTGCCTAACCATCCCAAGTCTGATGGTCAATAGTCCTAATATGTTTTTTTCCACAAGTATAATACCCAATAAATATTGATAGAAGGCTATATAACTTACGAAATTATATTGATAGGTCGAACACTAAAAATCACAAATTTTGTTCCAGAGGTTAAGTTTTGAAAATTTTGTTCGAAACGGGATAATCTGAGAAAAAACATTCATTAATTTTATGCTCTATGATACCAAGACGTCTTATGATATTTTGGGCCAAGGGAAAAATATTTATGTGTTTTTCCAAATGTTATTGCTCATGAAATTATAGGCTGAAAGTTAAAAATCACGAAACTTTGTTTCACGAATTTTGTTCTGAACAGGCCCAAGGTTAATATTGTCTTGAGATTGGAGCCAAAGAAAGATATTCACGATTTTTTTATGCCTGATGATACAAAGCTAAAAATCTTGATATTTTGGGCGAAAAAAACTCATGCCAAGGCTACAAAATTTTGATCGACGAAATTATAGCATGAAGACTACAAAATCACACTTCTCTTGTTCACATGGTTAATGTTCACGAATTTTGTTGCGAACAAGGCCAAGGCTAATTGTCGTGAAACGTGAGCCAGAGAAAAATATTCACAAATTTTACGCCCGATGATACCCATAGTAACACACATGAAATTTTATGCTGATGACAAATATTAATGCATTGTCACAGGTGTTATTACTCATGAAATTTGGACAACGGCTATAACTCTTAAAATTATAGCATGAAGGATAAAAATCACAAAGCTTTTGCTCCTAAGGTTGATATTCATGCTTTTTTTTGTCAAAGGTACTCATGAATTTTGGCAAAAGGCCAAGTCACGAAATTATAGCCCACTTTTTATTTCTAAGGTTAATCTTCTCCAATTAAGTGCCTAACAATCCCAAGGCTAATTCTCGTGAAATTTTGAACTGATGAAAATTATTCATGCCTTTTCTTGCCAAAGGTATTTACTCATGAATTTTGGCAAACAACTGTAACTTACGAAATTACAGCCTAAGGTTAAAAGCCACGGATTTTTTTGTCCTATATGATTAATATTACGAGTTTTGTGCACAACGATCCCAAGGACTATTTGGTTCATGATTTTTTTCCAAACGAGCCAAAGGTTGATAGTTCTTAAAATTTTGGCATGGAGAAAATATTAATGTGTTTTCCAATAGGTATAATCCTAATGAATTTCACCAAATGAACTTCTTTTGTTTTTTGAAACTTCTCCGAAATCTTTTATTTTCAAAACAGAATCTTTCGGCCATGCCGATCTAGCTGGCGTGGTAGCGTTATTTGGCCACGCTGGTCTGAATAGTGTGGCAATGTTATTTCGCCACACCAACCTGGCTGGTGTGGCAAAACAATTACGGGTGGCATGACAGTGTTATTTCGTCATGCTAGGGGAGGTGGTGTGGACGAAGGGTTCCAATTTTTGGAAATATGTTTTGAGAGGATTTATTTTAAAAATTAAAACTTAAAAAGGTTCAATAAATAATAAAAAATCTAACCAAATTATATTTCAAAGCCCAAAAATCTCCTATTTGTTTGGTCCTATGGTTAATATTCACGTTGTGTCTGACGATCCCAAGGCTAACACTCGTAAAATTTTGGTACTAAGTTGATTGTGTTCTGAACGGGACCAAGGTCAGCTGAACTAAAAATATTCATGTGTTTTTTTTTCAATAATAAGGTTCATACTAATGAATTTCTTCTAGCCGAAGGCTAAAAAAAATCACGAAATGTTCTCCTAAAGTTAGTATTCACAAATATTGTTCCAATCATGCCATAGTCTAATCTTTGTGAAATTTGGGTTGAAGACAAGATTCATGCTTTTTTTTTGCAAAAAGTTGGTCGTGAATTTTTGCCAAGGCTAAAACACACTAAATTATAGGACAAAGGCAATATATCTCAATTTTTTTGGTTCATCTAGTGAATATTCACGAGTTTTGTTTTGACTGATCGCAAGGCTACCACTCTACTAAGAATAATATTTCATTAATTTGTTCCAGATGGGACTAGGGCTAATAGTCCTAATATCGGCAGAACAAAAATATTCGTGCATTTTTTCCATAAGACTAATACTCATGAAATTTTGGCATAAGGATATAACTCATGAAATTATAGGCCAAAGGCGATATATCTCGAATTTTTTTCGCCCTATGGTTAACATTCACGAGTTTTGTGTATAATAATCCCAAGGCTAACACATAAAATTTTGGTATTAAGGTTAATATTCATTAATTAGGTCTAAACGGAACCAAGGCTAATAGTCCTAAAATTGTCACAATTACTAATTGAATGCCCGTGCTTTGCTCACAAGTATTGAATGCCCATGCTTTGCTATAGATAAAAGAAAATTTATTAATGTGTACAATTTGATTGGCGGCTAATGTGTACAATTTGATTGGCGGCCGAAAAAGGAAAGGACCGACCTAGAGCTAAATCATGCAGCCACCGGAGCAAACCATCTGCATTAGAGGAAACGAAAACCGGCGACTGCACAGGCATCCCATCGAAAGCTCCGCCCATGCTATGGAGAAGAGGATGGGAACAAGAAGCCACAGAGGCTATCGATTTAGATTTGCTTGTTTCTTTTGCATTTAGAAGTTCAATGAGTAACTCGTAAAATTTACAATACTAGTAGGTGGGGTGTTAAGCTATCACCACCATTACCTTCTTTTATATAGGAGTATATATATAGCCAATATACATATGTATATACGCGTCTATCACTGCCCCTGTATCGCTGATTTGTGATGCTAGTTGTAACAAATAAATATATATGGAAGCACAATAGTATGTCAGATCAATGCAATTAAGGGGATTATTTTTTGGCAAACCATGAACTAGATAAAAGCCCACCTCAAAAAAATGAGCTAGATAAAAAGATAATATATTTGCTCTAAAGTTTACGAAACAGACATGTCTTCACATCACATCTTTTTGTAGGTTAAGAGGTGCAGAAGGGATTATGCTGTTGTCTCACTATTCGATTATCACATGATAGAACAATTAGCATAAAAAATAGCCAAACAAGATACTGTTGTTTTAGATATGCAGAAACAAAAAAAAACTCAACCTTGTACCTTTCATCACCTGAACTTAAGGTTTTCACTTCATCAAATTCATCACAGGCAAGTGTATTTCCAACTGCACACGGAATTGGTTTCTCCAAAGCTGTAAGCAAAGCAAACAGAGTATTATTCCATGGTTGACAGTAATTGCCTGTTGCAAGAATAGTTCATATGGACAACTAATAAGGAAGCAACAGACTGCCGGCACAAGAACCTGTAGCTGCACTTGGAAATATATTAAAATAGAAATTATCAGTCAAGTTGCAGTCTTGGGACTGTGTCGATGCCCTACAGCCAACAGGACATACTTGTGATTGGAGGGAGTAAATGTATCCAACACATGATTCCTGCAGCTGTCATGATCACATATATAGTCAGGCTATCTTAATATTTGCATGGGGCTAATTTGAATGGATGTGAATTAACACAATCCCAACAAATTACATTAATCTATGAATGCTCTTATTCACAAACTCTCCTTCCATGTGACCCCACATTCATTTGTATAGAATCAGTTCAAACATTTTTTTCAACAGTTTACAGTTCATGTGAGGAGTTGCATGTGGGGCTAGACATTTATTTAATTAAAGAGGTTCTCCATTAAAAAAAGTAAGTATTGCCATTCACAGGCTCACAGCAGCAGATAATATAATGAGCTCTCCTCAGATATAAGAAAGTGTTGGAGAATTAGCTAAGTTAAAGTCATGAAGGAGGTACCTTAATGTGTTCTTTTGCTCTGCTCTTATCTTCTACCATTACTACGTCCACGAATTCCACATAGCAACAGTGGCAGCGAGGTTGTATTTCTCTGTTAAGGCATACAAAGTTCTGTCACGCCATGGACTCCAGGGAATAGCCGCCTTAGACTCCTAGCTGTTCCTGAAAATCAAGCATCCCACTCACTTTCATGCTTGTCAGCATTAAGCTTTCACAATTCCTTACATATCTCGTCCAACCTCTGCCTCAGCATTTTGGTATTTAACTCTGCACAAAATTTGTAATGAGCATAATAGGAGAAAAAATAATGTTGATAATCGAGCGCAAATTACTGTGCTTAAGGATTTGAAACATCCTATCAAGATCTAAGGATTTAGCATAGACTAACCCTGAGGGCTGGTGCTCCTTTGTTATTTTCCTCACATAAGCGAGGAAGCTCATCTTCCTGGTTGGGGATTGAATGAAGAATCTTATTAAGCTTTGCACACGATTCACGCACTTGTGACAATCTCATTCTCACAGCTACACAACTGCTGCATATTCTCTAAATTATTTTTTGCTTAAACGTCAGCAGCAAGCTCTTTGTAAAAAACCTTCCATCCCATCTCTCAAGTCTCAGCTTTGTTGTACTCATTGCCGCATCTTCCTTACTGCAATAGAAAGTTAATGGTGTACTCTTCAGGGATGCAATCAATAGGTATACAAAAAATAAAACCACCTGAGGACCAAAAGTGTATTTACCCATTTATGTCATAACTGTCCATAACTAATTCAAGTGTTACTAAAAAAACATTTTTTTTGGCTGAGCATGGTAAAATGAAAGGTTTGTTCTTAATCGTAACCATAACCATATAGTAAGGTATAGTATCAACTACCAAGCATCCACCTGTGGTTCTCAAATATTGTACCAACTATATATACAGATTCTAGACCAGCAAGGTTGCTCCAGATCTAATGTAGCCACATCAGTTAAAAAAGAAGATTGGCTAGGTCATAAATTAAAATGTTGATGTTATTTAATTTGATATATGCAGTACAGCAGGAGTCTTATCACACGTCCATTAATCGGTTATTAGATTAAGTTAGCCGAGAAAAATGACAACAGCTGGGCTTGTTAAAAGAACAGCGGTAGATGGAACTTCTTTTCTACATAGAAACTTTGAAATACCATATCTTGTTTATCGCAGCCAGCTTTGTGTTTTGTTCCATTTCTTGTTTATGACAGGCAGCCTTGCATTTTGTTCAAACTAACATGTTTGTTATATGATCTTAATAAAAATGGACAATGCTGCATAAGTTTCAATAGCATAGTAGTAGAGGTGAAATGTTGCATCTCCAACAAGAAAAAAATATTTTTCCCCGTAACAGTTGAATTTCTGAACACGCAAATATTTGCTTCCCAGTGAGTCAGTAACGCATGATTGTGCTCCAATTAGTATATCTTCTCAACTGGTGTCTGACTGTCTGGTGGTAATTGCAGGCAGCACTTCAGAAGTGATAGCAGGTACATTGTCAGGGTTATTTTGTCAATTTGTTTACAAGAAATAAACCTAAGCTAATATGTATCTAAGCCATAGCAATACGCCAATACCTAACACCACAGCAGTACAGAACACATATTAGTGAAACTCAGACCAGGCTACCAGGCACATATCCTTTTTGTAGAAAAGTACATGGCTATGGGGATCATGTCCTACTTTCATTAGATAATTGAACTTAAATATAAACTTAACACACTATATAAGATGTCTACTGAACTCACATTCTGTGATATTCCTGGAGTTGGTCATCAGCTAAGTGCGGTTTTCTCGATTTTTATTTTGGCCTTGCTCATTCAATTCATTGATAGTTCTTGTGACATCAACCAAAGCATTATGCAAACTTTTCATCTGTTCCAACTGCTTCTTGCTATCATCCTTCTTTTTGTCAATCTCTTTGTTGCAGCTTTTGATTTTGGATTTCAGCCGAGCAATTTACTCTTTCAATCTAAGAAGCTCATGCTGCTGAAGAAGAAAAAAGATGTAGCAATTAATTCAAATTCATTTGATGAGTCATGAAAGCAATCCTTATTTTAGCTTATACAGGTTACGTATTTCGACTAGAATAACAAAGTGCAACATTGAGCGATCCCATAAACAAACGTGATGTCATATGAGCATACAATTCATTAAGCAGTCAGTATTCATTGCATTGTAATTTGTATAAAGTAATGTGATTAGTGGTGTGCATGTGCATGAATACATAAGCAGAAGGGAGCAGGAGGGCTACTTGAGGCATTGTTTGGTTTGTGAGGGGAACTAATCCCTTAGGGGATAAAATCCCCCACAGATTGTTTGGATACAACTATTGAGAAGGGGGGGGTCAACATATGGATGCAATTATATTTTTCATGTTTTTATAATACATTAGTTCATCTAAGAAATTGACACATAAGCTCGAATTTGGTTTGTTACTCTTGATGAATCAATATACAATAAAAGAAACCCTCAACCAAAAGAAGCCCGAGCAACGACTCCTTGCCCAAAACTAAAATTCTACAATTATCTTGCTTCTGAATTTTGAGCAGCAATTTGAACATATATGGCTATAAAGAAGTTATATCGAATTAGATGTGAAAAATTTAAACGAGCGAAGCAACCCTAACTCCGAAGGAGCAAACCCTACATCAGCAGAAAAGCAGAAAAGGGCAATGTGATTGGCGACCGTAAAAGGAGAGGAGGACCGACCTGAAGCTAAGTTCGTGCAGCCGCCGGAGGGAACCGCCGTCCGCAGCGGAGAGGGAACGCGAAACCGGCGGCTGCACGGGCATCCCGTCGAAGGTGCCGCCCACGCAAGTGGAGAAGAGGACGGGCGCGCTCCGTTGATCCCCGCTTCCCTCCCGCACTTCCCCTTTCTCTGACGCGGGCGGCGCCGGCACCGGCACCGGCGGCTTCTCCCCCGTAATCCCCCCGCCCCGCGCCGCCCCCACCCCCACCCCGACGCGATCTCGACGGATCGTGCGGCACTGGAAGACCGCCCCTCTCATCTCCTGGACCCTCCTCCCACAGAAATAAAAAGGGCCGCTCCACCGACCAAAATAATAAAGAATAATAAAAGGTTAATTCGATTCGACCCATACCATTATTATAAATTTTAGGTACGGGATACCGTTCTAACGGGATATTTTTAAGTTCACGGGTAGGGGTGAAAACGGAGCGGATATTATCCGATCTGATCCGCTCCGAATCCGTCCGAAGTGAGGATATGGTAAGGGTTTTTAGATATCCGGCAGTATGCGGATAGTTGCATGCGGATGCGGATACGAATATGGTATCGATAATTTCCGGCGGAAACGGATTATCCGCTATTTTAAGCGGATTATCCAATAAACGTTTTGGCGGATAATCCGAATTTCACAGCCCATATAACCACTCAATTTGGCCCATTTGACATGAGCATTTTCATTGTGTAAAGATTCAGCCCATACAGGTCCACCTTATCCATCAATCTATCCAGTTCAGTTCGTGACTCCATTGGCGTCGCGTCAACCAATTTTTTCATCGAGACTTCTCTTCTTCCAGTCCTCCCACGCCTTGATGCCCTGACTTACGTGTGGAACTTCTATGTCTTACGTGATACTGTTTTTTCTAACATTTGTGAAACTTCTATGTCTTACGTGTTATGTGAATGCGATATATCGTGATTTCAATAATGTATGTGTCGATTACATGCTTTTAGACATAAGACAAGTCAATGTTAACAACTTGACATTATAATATGATGTGATCGGTGCTTTCATGAGTGATGTGAATTGTGATATTGGTATCTCATTGTTGCTCATTGTACAGATGATGTTATATCGACTGTATATACATATCACATCCGATTATTTTCATCCGTTTCCGAGCCGACTCCGCACCGACTCTGCACCATTTCCGACATCCGAAATAATCCGCTCTGCATCCGCATTCGCACATTATCCGCACCGCCTCCAAATCCAATTAAAAAGTATGGTATATGATATGATATGACTACTATCCGTCCGAATCCGTTCACCCCTATTCACGGGCGCGTACTCCTCCCCATGACTCGAATTCCCCCGCCTGACACATCATGATGCTCGACTCAGATTCCTCACGCCTGTCACCCTGGACCATACAGCCACCTAGTGCAACCATCCTTGTATACATGTCTTTACTAGCCGTGATGGTACGTAAGGCTGGTTGGACCTATGTACTTGGTCTGCTCACGAGTCACGAGGACGTAGGTTTGGATCATTTATTTGGACTAGTTCCTCTTCTCTTATTTTTCTCTCTCAATTTTTCTGTAAATACACGTCTTTGATATGATGCGATAATGAAACACAAGCCATATATCTAAGTTTTGGGCCATGTGCTCAGGTTTGACGACTATAGACCAGACGGTTGTCGTAAAACGATGAACCGATACTAGTGCAATACCATAACGAGTCTCTATGATACCTTTATTATTTCGAGGTATCATCTAGTATCCTCGAGCCAATACTTATGATACATCTTTACTTATGATACATCTGGTACTCACAAAGTATCATCTGATACCTTCGAGGTATCACTCGATACTCTTAAAGTATCACCTACGATACCCTTGAGGTACCATTTAGTGCCCTCAAGGTATCACCCGTGGTTCTCGAGGTATCATGATACACATGGTACCTCAAGGTATCATCTGGTATCCTCGAGGTATTGTTAACGCCAAAATTTGGTAAGCCCGAAGTCATCATCAGCTAAAATTCAGTATTGGCTTCAGAGTCTTGGAATCGGCCGATGGGAGTCGTCAAATCGCCAGCAGTTGTATTCTTGGTGGAGCTAGATTAATTAAAGGAAATTTATCCAGAAGAGTCCGAGTTCAATAAGGATGCGGTATGGCAAGTTATCTATTAATTAGGAATAGTTTGTTAGTTTCCTTTTATCTTTAGGAAAGTGTGTTTAGTGTCCAATAAGGACTTTATGTTTTCCTTTTATCTTTAGGAAAACTTCTTTCTTGTCCGACAAGGACTAGTATCTCCCCGTAGGTATAAATATGTACACCCGGGGTGATTGTAAAACATCTTTCGATCAATACAACTACTCTCGGCACATCGCCACCCTCTTTCCTAAGGTTTTTACTTATCATCCGGCAAAATTTGGCACCTGACGCGGGGCTGCATCGGTTCAGTTCGATCTCCGGCGAAGGGGTAAGTCCTACGTTCCACTGGCCCTGGTGAATCTATCGGCTACGTTGGTGTTGTTCAAGGCTGCATTGCTTCGATCTCTTGGATCGCTCTGGTTTGGTTGATATATTTGCCTACCTGATATCTCAATTCTATCTCTAATTGCATTGTGTTTAGAGACGCATCGGTTTAGTTGGGACTGTCTCGGTTAGGTCCGATCTTCTATCTTAGCCGATATATCTCTACAATCACAATATTTTACTAAATAGATTTGTTATATCCATCACATTAGACAGATCTATCGGCTCATCGAGTATTAGATTATCATATACAATCTTGTGCTGCATCAGTTAGGTTCGACCTGCTAGATTGTTGTTGATAATATAAGTCTTGATAAGCCGATAGGTTCATGCTAGTGTTTTATCGGGGTGCTAACCGATAAGTTATCTGGACGTTACATCGGCTTATAAGGAGTGCATATACATATAAGTTGGATTTAGCTGATGACAACAAAGGTTTCATATTTGTCCTATAATATCATTGTTAGCCGATTGGTTTCCACTAGATTATATTATTGTTATTTATCATCATCAGCCGATCGCCTTTATATCATTATCTACATTAAACATATAGCCGATTGCTCAAAACCCTATCGCTATCGGCTGGTATCGGCATCGTCTGCGATTGCTCCATCGGCTTGTCAGCCGATCGGCTATTTGATCTACTGTTTACATATCTTGTCAGTTGCAAGATCAAACTGACTGGCACGCCTGCATCTCATCAAGTCTTGGACCTGCACTGGAGCTAAGCAGATCTCCTAGGCCAGTGTGTGTTTTTCGCATCAACAGGTATCATCCGGTACCTTCAAAGTATCACCTACGATGTTCTTGACGTATCATTTGGTACCCTCAAGGTATCATCCATGGTTCTCGAGGTATCATGATACACCTGATATCTTAAGGTATCATCAGGTACGCTCGAGGTATCATGATACATTTGGCACCCTCAAGATATCATTCGGTAACCTCAAAGTATCACCTACGGTATCCTCAAGATATCACCCTGTTGATGCGAAAAACATACACTGGTCTGAAAGATCTACTTAATTTCTGTGCAGGTCTTAAATCTTGCTCTTGGGTTCAAAGGCGTGCCAGTTGATTTGATCCTGCAATTAACAAGAAAGAAAGACAAGAAAACCGAGGTTAAATCCATAAACGATAGCCGATCGGCTGGTGCCGATGACGTATCGTTCAAACTATGAGTCGATGATATTGGCAATAGATCGGCAATGAAGAATAAAGCAATGTAAAGCTAAATCTACTTGATTGGTTGTAGATATTAACGATATATAATCCTTCTCTCGATGTATATTTAGACTAAGTGATTGGGATAGATCGAACAGCATGTCGAGACAGTATAAATCACCTAAGTCCAAAGATACATTAAGATAACGATTATATGAACGTTTATAGCATAGCCGATCAGATAGATCTAGCATGTATCGGCTAATACTCCGATACCACTCTATATTGAGATATTAAAACATACAAAATATATCAAACAGAAAGCCTAATATACTCTAATGCAGTAAAATCTTAATATAGAGGGCGGATTTAGCTTGTCAATCGAGCACCCAATGAATAAAGTAGCTAAATCAGGTAAGATCGGCTGAAACTCCGATGCTATCTTCGTTAGAAATCATAAAACAAGCCATATATTGCAATTATGAATATTACTTAATAGATCAAACTCAACCGATGCAGCATTAAGCATAAGAATAAGTACAAGATCTAAATAAGATGATGAAAACTTCAGAAAGATGGTAGATATGCTGTATAATCTAGATTAATAACGAGATGTAACTCTATCGGCTACTCCCTAGTGATAGATACTAGCCGACTGTAAGTTATATGGCGAAACTAATAAAGATTATGATGCATATATGATAACTCGACGATTTACATGAACAAGATTAGAGTATCATGATGATGAAAGCACTAATCCCGAGAACGCAAGCCGCCATAATAAGTTTTACCTCTTGTTGAAAATCGAAATTGATGCAGCTCAATCCGAAAGCAAGAACTCGTCGAAACAAACGAAAGTAAAAAAGGGTGGCGATGCGCTGAGAGTGTTATTGAACTGTTGTTGTAAATTATATGGGTTCAGGTTATATTTATTCCCGAGATACATGATAGGTCCTTGCCGGACACAACTCTTATCTCTAACAAACTCTAATATACACATAAGTCTTTACGGCAGACTCTTGCCCAAACATATCTCTAAAGAAACTATTTAAAATATCATAATTAATAGATATAATTGCCTATCTGAGAGCCTATCTCCATCGTGACAATCCTTGTGTAGCACGTTAATCGATTCCAGAAACGGTTTCATAACCATCTCAATGAAATCGGCTGTATCGGCTTTATTGGCTGTTTTCTGTCCGATCCATCTCAGCCGATGCAGACCTCAGCCGACGCCTTCGCAGCCGATGCGTACTCTGTTCTTCGAATACAATTCTTTGCCGAATCCACTTCGATTCCAATATCAAACCTGGTTCATAACTTACCAAATTTGGTCGTTAACACACCCGTAGTCCTCGAGGTGCCATGATACATATGGGTTATACATAGGGATTTTTCAGATATCAAGTTTGTTATAGTGATACATTTGGTCTCTATTCTATGGAAAGAGATCTCACGTGATTCAAAAGAAAAATAAAATTTCAAAGAAAGGAAAAGAATAGTGAAAAGAAAAAAAAAGAAAATAGGTATGGTTGGGCCGTAGCTGAAGACACGACAGCGCAACAACCCTACTGGCCTATCCACGTAGGGATGTGCAAGTGTA